ATTAGGGACTTAAAGACCTGCTTAAGAATTGAGGCTTGTCTCCTGCAGAACTCACAAGGAAGATGCCAATTTACACCTTGAACTTTCACCACCATTGATGCTCTTTTCACTCTTCAAGATAATTACACCATCAGACAACCCTCAGGCAGATCGGTTGGACTAGCAAAGCCTGCATCTTCAGCCAAGTCCTTCAGAAAGCCTGTCAGTATAGCTAACCTTCTCACTGTAAATAAAGGTGAACCGATCCTACGTTTTCCTAGGTGCTGGAAGGAGTTTTCCCTCTCAGTGTTGGGGAAGCGTAAGGTCTGTTTGCTAGAAATCAGACCACTCACAGAAGCAGCTTTTCAACCCATTTTACAAGTAGCATAAAGATTACGTGGTCTGCCCAAGCCCACAAGGTACACTACGGAAAAGCAGAATTCAAAGTTAATTCTTTGTATTCCAACCCAGGGCTTTTGACACCAGGTAGATGTTTACTCTTCAGCATATTTAAAATGTGAAATACAAAATGTTTAAGAAAAACTCCAAACCAGTAGTTGGTATAATAGCAGCAGACAGCAGTCAGATACATAGACAAACCAGTTTCATAACATTCCAATATCCCTATCTTGATATACATACCAATAAATAAGCATAAAGCTAAAACCAGCTACAAAGTGCAGCTATTTCAGTCGCTACTCTCTTCATCCCAAAAGAGAAGCTCACATGACCATCCAGTGATCTATTAGCACTGAATACTGGACACAAAACCAGATCTTCAGGTCTGAAAAAATCTCCTTAATTTCCTTGCAAGTATTAATGCATATACAGAAGCAAAACCAGAAGGAGTGCAGCTGGACACATAAATTTGCATACGTGCTGTAATACCTGAGTAATGCAAGTATTATTCCTCCAAAGGTAATAAACAAAGAAGTTAGTATTAAAGTTGGTGACATCTGTGAAGAATCTAGAAACTTTATGAGGATGTTTTAAGGGAAAAAGATAATGGGCAGCAGTGTTCAGACACATAAGACATATTCTTCATGCACAGAATAGTGCAATTCTTTTTGGCATCTGCATTTTCCCTTACAAAGCGAAACCCTTTTTTGACCCTTACAGTAGACCAAATCATCAACAAAAATCTTACTTCTGACTTAGCATACTGATTCACTGAAAGACTGAGTCAGTTGTAACCTATCAGATAAAGAATGAGAGAAAACATGCAGCAGTATCTGAATTCTGCCGATAGCTCTTAAAACACTTAAAAGCTTCTGCCACAAGAACTAGCAATGAATTAATTAGCCAAAGCTGAGAAATAATCACAAAATGACAAGCTACTGCAGTGAGCTTGGCTTTTTTTCATCTACCCTCTACATCCCATCTGTAGATTCAGGAAGAGAGCACTGCATACATCCAGCTGCACAGAAGAGTAAGCTGTGAGAAATCAAAGACTGTGTGTGGATCAGTCAGTCAACATTGTTGAGCATCCAGGCCACCTCTGCACAACCCAAAAGACTCCCAGAAAGTCAACAACAATAAATACAATTGCTGTTTTCCATTGTTTCCCCCACTGAGGAAACCAAAGATTAAAGTGCTACTTCCAGGCACTTAGGGGGATGCAATTCCAACTTCGGTGTGGTAGGTAAATGTTCTTCCTTGGCACATCCATCCTATTGACCTCTCCAGTTGCATGACATCAGTATTGTTATGTATTGCTGCAATATTTAGGCAAAATAGTTTTAAAAAGCATTCCAGTCACTCCTATTTCATGTTGTGTTCATTACTTTTATTTACCTGAATCTCCTAAATCTATCTTCCATTCTTTCTATTCTCTTCCAGTTAACTTTTCACTGCTTTGTTCTCTAAATCCCCAATCTCTTGACCCCAGGGGGTGGAACCCAGGTTATCAAACCTGGCAAGAAATCACCTTAAGCTTCTGCCTTAAAAGCAGAAAAAATACATTTTTTTACTCCCTACTGACTTAATATTGGTTTTGCCTTTTAACTGGACTAAAATCAAACTACAACCCATTAAAAAGATTCCATCCCAGTAACAGCAAAGAGAAACATGAAACAATACTTCAGGCAGTTTAGGACTGCTTCATGCTATAGCTCTCAAGTGTTAACGTAAGTGGCAACCACAAGCAAGCTATGGTAAGGCACTCTCCTTGCAAAACATCTATGAACAGTTCTCCCAAACACACTTCAGAATTACTTTCTATTCTTTTGGAGGTTTTCAGAGATTTCTGTTGTTATTAACAGCATGAAAATAGCATCCTAACAGTGACAATAGCACACTACTTTCAGAATCCTTTTATTTTCACACTTTAAAAAATAATGAACGTTATTTCCACCTACGTAAAATTCAAACCCCATGTTTGACTGGGGGGACTGAAGTGTGGACTCCATGTCAGTAAAAGGTACTATTTTGAGCAGCAGTTAATGGTCTACATATGTAAAAAAAGAACCTTCACCATCACAATAGTGAGGAGGAAAAAACGTAACCTCTCTTTTCTCTCCAAAGCAGACAAAAAGAGGAAATTGAGATGCGAAGTTATCCTTGAAATATATACATATGTGTATTATATATTCAACACAGAAAGTACAGTTAAGATGGATTTATTTCCTGGGGGGAAAAAAGGATACTTATTTAAGACATCTTTTGAGGAGATACTAGTATCAGATATGAAAAAGTTCTTTTCATAAAGCTACCGAGAAGTGGACACTGCTATGGTAAGCTTCCCACTACAATGAAACCAATTTTAAATACAACAATATAGGCACATAAATACAGACAAAAATATCTAGCCTGCAAAAAAAAAGCCAAAATAAAATAAAAAATGTGTTTATTGTGCAGACTTGATTTTCCCAAGATCTGAAAAATATATTCTAGTTTCTCTGTGCCATCCCCCTAATCCTCTTATTAGTGGACATTCACTCCACAGCTATTTCATTATGCTTCATTTCTGAAATCCACACATCAGTAGCATTCAGTACATGTTAGCAGCAAGGCTACATGTAACAGCACATCTTTTTATCTCACGGGAAAAACCTTTAGAAAAATGTACATAAACACATGTTGAAAGTAGTCTGAAGAGGGTCATCTATTTATATACTCTACATGTAAGAAATATTTTAACATTGTCAAATTTATGTTAGCATTGGGCATTTCCAATCACTTCAATATTCAGCTTGCCCAAGTGCTATTTTTTATTTTCTTGCACAAAGTCTAATCTGATCTAGAAATTTATTTCTCCTTCTGAATTCCTATCCACGTAGCATCAATAGTTATAAATTTAAAAAAACACTACTAAAATTATTTGAAGTAAAAATGAATTAACTTCTGACCTACTCTTGATAGTTCAGCACAGGTATGTTTGTAATCAATACTTGTTTTCCATATACATACAATTTTTCATTCTATCTCAAAAAAAAAAATCAAAAAAATGACAGCAGTGACCACTGTATAGGGAAGATAATGTGATTTTACACAGTGCCCTTCATTGTCCAGCTGTCTCTAAGCACTTTACAAAACAGTAAGCCCCCTTAGATGTACCACCATACAGGCAAATACAGCAGCTGTTCTGCACTCCACAAGAGCTCACCTTTAACCAGAGTAATCTCATACTGACAGGCTGCACATGAACCCAAGACACTGAGGAAACGTTTACTCTATTTAAAAAAAAAAAAAAAAAAGCTGTTACATCTGTAGGTATAATGCTGCATGTACTTTGAATTCTTAAGTGTAAAATAAAGTATGGAAAATCAGTACTGTAAATCTATGTCGGATGTAACATATCTCTTGACTAAAAAAAAGTCCTTAATATCTAAGGTTTATGTAGCATTTTTCATACCACACCTAAACTCTGTGTACAAAACAATGCAAAACTCTATGAGTAGATGGAGCTCTCCCGTCTGCATAAGTGCCGAGGCCCAAACTGAGATTTCCCAAGTGACTGGTGCTTATACACTGGACAATATTCTAGAGGAAAGTCTCTAAACCAGGAAAGTAATCTCCTAAAATCAAAGAACCATTCCCAAAAGCAAAAGCTTTCTTTCTAGTAACTTATTCTTTGTAAGGAAAAGTTAGTTCTCTATGGCAAGGCACAGTCTAACTTTTTCAGTTCTTTATCTTCCATTCCAATCATGTGTCAGCAATATTAACCTTTTGTTTCAGTCATCATACAAAGCAGACAATGCTCACCTTTGGTCTCAGTAACAAGCTAGATAAAACTGGCTGTCTATATTATCATTTCCTCTCTTTCTACTTAACAGCTAGCTTTTTTTGGTTTTGTTTTTAATGAACACTGTGGGTAGACAGGTCAGACATAATCCTGCAGTAGAAAAAGTGGCAGATATTTTTACCATGAAAGCACAAAACACAGTTCTATACATTTTATTAATCTTGTCTCACTGAATGAGGAACTATCAAAAGCCTTCAGGCATACACAATTCTAAAAAAGAAAGCTTTCCATAAGGAAAGTCCTTCCTGTGTGTTTCATTACACAAGTTATCAAAACAGGATGTAGTACAGAGAGCACACGTGCATCCTTACTTCAATTGTTATGGCATTGGCCCTTCCTAGTTCAATTCTTTGGTGTGTAGTTATATTTGGGTGGGTTTTTTTTAAAGCAAGTATACTCTGCTCATAACTCTACGAAGCATGCAAAGGTAACTGGGCACAAAAGTGAATAACTCGGGAAACAGTGCAGAGTCAGATATTAAAGAACATGGTAAACTGCTAAGCCTTTTACATAAAGATTATTGTCTACTTGAAAAGGCAAGGTGGCCAGACCAGCCCCACGATACAAATTAACACAGTCTTCTATGCACCCGATGGCTGGATTATGCCAAAAATCTGGAGAACAAGGTTGAAGACACCTTATCTCCTGTCTCATTTGATACTACACTTCATGAGTGGATAAGAGCAATTCTGAAGTTCTGAGTTTCAGAAACAAATAAGCAGGTCCTCCTCTTCCCTCTGCTCCACCCTGCACAAAAACAGACATAGAAAGCAAACACTCATTTTATATCAGTGTTTATTTACATGAGAGAAGGTTTACACAAGGTGAAAAGTTGTTTCAACAGAAACCCAACAATCAGTGCTTTTGCCTGTCTTCAAAAAAGGGCCGACTTCAGGATTTGATGATGCAGCTTCAGAACATTTTGACAATCACTTGGGAAAAAAGTGCCAGGAATCAACTAAAACAAACAAAAAAATACCCATCAAGAATGACATTAGTTCTATACAAGTAGCCAGACACAAATGCTTGAAAAAGCAACATTCTGCTCTTTCAGCTATCTCCCCTCCCATAACCGTACTTCTGGGTGAGCTCTGTCTCCAGACTATGTAAAGCACAGCCTCAAAATAATATCTGTTCACTGTAACAGTTTGCCTGAAACATTCTTGCAACAAGTTACAACATTGATGTGACCATCCCTGGAAAACTTTAAAGATCAGGTAGATTATGTTCAGTTGTCTGTCAGAGGTCTGAGATGTAATACTCCAGTAAATAAATACTATTTATTGGCATGCCATATAAGGGCAAATGGAATGTAACTTGTTTTCCCATGACACGGACTACACAGATGTTGCTTTGCAAACAATCTGGAACTCGACTCATGACTTTCTCTTAGTGTTTCTGTAACTCCCTCCGTCTCAAAAAGCACGTACATCTTCTCTATAGAGATTTTTCTACTGGCATGAACTTTTTTTTTTTTAAAGTAGTTAACAAAAATGAAAATGTAGGATGCATTCTTATTTCTCGATGAAAAACACATGTTCTGTTAACATGAAAAACCGTCATAACAGTGAAAGAGTATTTTGTCTTTAGAACTTACACTTGAAAATTAAGTATGGTTATGTCACTTTTAGGAAAGAGGGCTGTTTATTTCATTAGTTAGCTACTGTGAGGAATGACAAAAACTAAGGCAAAGCAACCTTTCTCCTTTAAAAAGGATAATTGTCATACATTTGCCTTCCATGACCAGTAACAGCAAAATTCAGTCTTCTAATATTTTTTACATGGACTACACTTTCACTTATGCTCCAAAGTAATCTTCTCCCACAAACCATCCATGAATTTCTGCCCATGTTCTATTTAACAGGGGACAGGCATTACAGTCTGACAGAATATAACTATTATTGTTCTCATGTACACAAACCCATCTTTTTTTCAATACAAGAGTTTTTACGTCAATTTTTAAAGCAAACAATTAAAGAAATTGCATGGCATTTTGGGAAAAACATACCTTCTGGGGAAACAGAATCTCCATTCACAGGCACTGGTGCCTAAAAAGAAAATGAAAAAACAAAAGCACAAAACAAAAACCAAACAAACAAAAACAAAAAAATCATATCAGTGTTTAGTTAAAGTTTCACAGGTAGCACCCAAAAAAACTATCTTACTGCTGAAGTCAAGAGATACTAATGAAACCAGAACTTTCTGTTGCCCCCACAGGACAATGTGCTCTGCCTTACAGACTTTACCTTCCCCCCACCCCTCTAACTACTGCACAAATTTCTTGGTTGCTCATAAATGACAAAACAAACACACTAATAATGAGTGACAGATTAACATCTTACCTAATGTAAAGGGGATTTTCCTACTGTATTGTCTTTGAGGATAACAGGGTTTGCTGTTTACATAATAAAGAATAAAAATGCTCTTCCAATTACATTACTATATGTTTCAGTATAAAGGTTTGCATGTGAATATATACACACACAATTCAGGTTACATATATGCAAACATTTTTAAAAAACATGTAATTAAAATCTCTTACACCACATTTTGACAGAGTAGGATTAATTTCTGTGGAAGTGACAAATCATTTTAAAACACAGGTCTAAGTCCAGGTCCATTTCAAAGCTGATTACACCACTATTCAACCACAGTATTACACAGCATGTCTTCTCCTATTACTTCAATGACAAAATTAAAGCCAGTTTTAACACCAGCTGGAAGCAACCTGCCTCACGATGAGGACGCTAGTTACTTGCATAGCAACAATCCTCCACTGCCCTTCCGTCTGCTCCTCACAAACAGACAAGTTTTCCAACTGACATAACTGCGGGGAAAGCAGCAGAGAGCAATCCCAGGGCAAGGAATCCTGCCACACTCACTCACACACACAAATCAAATGCAAAAAACATGGATGTTGGCCTCTGCCATGACACAAGCCCACCCCAACTACGCTTACCCAAGAAGATAACCCCAGGAGTAATCACTTAAGTGACCCACGCAAAAGAAGAAACAACCTCAAAGGCAGCTGTTTGAAGCTTCAGGAGAACAAAGCTGCACAGTGACCACCCATGTCTTCCACACCAACAGGTGGAACTTCCTGCCACGACTTAACGGCACACGAAGACATTAATGAAAACTTTGCAGTATCCTGCAGGCAGGCAAACTGACCCACAAGCTGCACAGCTTGGCTTGGCACAGTGCAGCACTCCGACTGAGCTGCATTGATGTGAAATTCCCCACGAGTTTGCCTGCCTCCAAGCAGGCACAGGGCTCAATCCACTGAAGAGCAGGTCAAAGCCTGTGAGGAGGGAAGGGAAAACCAGTATTCTTTTCCCACTTTACCCAGGAAAATTACCTGCACAGGGGGTATATGACTGGTCTGAAAGGATGTGCCAGTATGACAAATGTAATCCAGGTAATCCAGGACTTAAAATCACAAAATAGTTTGGGTTGGAAGGGACCTTTAAAGGTCATCTAGGCCAACCCCCCTGCAATTAGCAGGGACATCTTCAACTAGATCAGGTTGCTCAAAGCCCCATCAAACCTGACCTTGAATGCTTCCAGGCACAGGGCATCTACCACCTCTCTGGGCAACCTGTTCCAGTGTTTCACCACCCTCACTGTAAAAAATGTCTTCCTTCTATCTAGTCTAAATCTATTCTGTTTAGTTTCAAACCATTACCCCTTGTCCTATCCCAACAGGTCCTATTAAAAGGTCCATTCCTAGCTTATAAGCTCCTTTTAAGTACTGAAAGGCTGCAATAAGGTCTTCCGGAGCCTTCTCTTCTCCAGGCTGAACTGCCTCAACTTTCTCAGCCTGTCTTCATAAAAGAGGTGTTCCATCCCCCGATCATTTTTGTCACCTTCCTCTGGACCCACTCCAACAGGTCTGTGTCTTTCCTGTGCTGAGGACCCCAGAGATGGACATTGTACTCTAGGTGGAGTCTCACGAGAGTGGAGTAGAGGGGCAGAATCACTTGCCTCGGACCTGCTGGCCATGCTTCCTTTGATGCAGCCCAGGATGCAGGCTGCAAGCACACATTGCTGGGTCACGTCCAGCTTTTTATCCACCAATACCCCCAAGTCCTTCTTCTCAGGGCTGCCCTCAATTCCCTTCATTCTCCAGCCTGTACTGATACCGGAGGTTGCTTTGACCCAGCTGTAGGACCTTGCATTTGGCCTTGCTGAACCTTATGAGGTTCATATGGGCCCACTTCTCCAGCTTGTCCAGGTCCCTCTGGATGGCATCCTGCTCCTGGGGCATGTCAACCACACCACTCAGCTTGCTGTCATCTGCAAACTTGCTGAGGGTGCACTCAATCCTACTATGTCATTGATGAAGACATTAAACAGTACCGGTCCCGGTACAGACCCCTGAGAGACACCACTCATCACTGATCTCCATCTGGACACTGAGCTGTTGACCATCCAGCCAGTTCCTCATCCAAACAGTTTATCCAATCCATATCTCTCCAATTTAGAGACCCTGTCAAAGGCCTTACAGAAGTCCAGACAGATTACATTCATAGTTCTTTCCTTGTCCACTAATGTAGTCACTCCATCATAGAAGGCGACTAGGTTGGTGACGCAAGACTTGCTCTTGGTGAAGCCATGCCGGCTATCTCGAATTACCTTGCTGTCCTCCGTGTGACTTAGCACAGCTTCTAGGAGGATCTGTTCCATGATCTTCCCAGGCACAGAGGTGAGGCTCACACGTCAGTAGTTCCCAGGGTCCTCCTTTCAAGCCCTTTTAAAAATGAGTGTAATGTTTCCCTTTTTCTAGTCACTAGGGAATTCACCTAACTGCCATGACTTTTCGAATATCATGGAGATCAGCTTGGCAACTACATCAGCCAATTCCCTCAGGACTCTGGGATGCATCTCAACAGGTCCCATAGACTTATGCATGTTCAGATTCCTCAGGTGGTCATGAACTTGATCTTCTCTTACAGTGGGAGGGACTTCGCTCCCCCAGGACCTGCCTTGAGGTCCATCCACTTGGGAGTTGTGGGAAGAGAGGCTGCCAGTGAAGACTGAGTTTAAAAAGTTGTTGAGTACCTCAGTCTTCTCCTCAGCTGTTGTTACCAGTTTGCAAGTCATGTTCATTGGGGGCTTCTTTGACCTTCCTTTTCTGGCTGACACACGTATAGAAGCTCTTATTATTCTTCGTGTCCCTTGCCAAGTTCAGCTCCAGCCATGCCTTAGCCTTCCTGACCCCACCCCTATACAACTGGGCAACGTCCTCATACTCTTCCGAGGATACCTGTCCCTGCTTCCAGTTTCTGTGCACTTCCTTCTTGCCCTTTATTAGTCTTGACTCATCCATGCTGGTCTCTTGCCATCCATTCCTTATTTCTTACACATGGGGATTGAGAGTTCTTGCACTCCATGGAAAGCATCTTCCAAGCCTTAACACCAGACAATCCTCTCTCTTTCCAGTAAAACCAAAGCTTTACCTCATAAGGCAGGGAGAACCAGTGGTCACCATGTACAAACAGGTGCCTGCCACTTCTAGGATAATCACTCAAAGTTTGAGAGACCAGGAACAGATCAAAACCTCATCCCACTAAACCAGAAATCTCTTCATTACATGACTCTTTCATTTGGAACACTGTTTAAAAAAATCCAAATAAATCAATAAATTAAAAAACAAACAAATGAAAAAACCCCAACAACAACCTTCCTCCCTCCCCCCCAAAAAAACCCACAAACAACCCACACCCCCTCAAAAAAACCCCAACACAACCCACAAAACAAAACAAAAAAACCCCACCATCCCTGGAAGTGTTTAAGACCAGGTTGGATGAGGCTTTGGGCAACATGGTCCAGTGGAGGGTGTCCCTGCCCGCAGCAGAGGGGTTGGAACTAGATGATCTTTAAGGTCCCTTCCAACCCAAACCATTCTATGAATCTTTTGTTTCTCAACTGGCCACTGAACAGAAAATTCTGCTTCTACTATGTCCCAAATGGAAATGTCCTCACAGAAAACATGTAGGGAGAAAGGCAGTTAACAGACTTTCCTGCTTAGATCTGAATTATTTGAAACACATTAGTAAGTGTCCAGATTCAAATTTTGTTGGAGATTTTTTAAATTATCAGGAAAAGCCAGATGTTTTCTCCTAAAAGACATTGTTCTGCATTTTATGAAAAGAGACCTCATCTAGCAAAGCTTTCCTAGTTCGCTTTCCAGTATTATAAGGGAAGAATTATGTGGTAAGTCTGAGAAACACCGCTCTACTAACTATATATAGATTATCTTGGAGATTTTCCAACTTGCAAAGTCCTCGGCAGCTTCTTCACACAGCAAGTGAGCAAGCAGTTCTTGGGATTAATATTAAACAAAGATTTGGCTGTCCTGGTCAGTTTTACAGATGGCAACACTTAAATGCCTGAAATAAACAGTACATCTTAGCACTAACACATTCAACTACAAAACTCTATTCCTCCTGGGTTTAGTTTTCAACATACACTAACACTGGAGCTGAAAAAGATGAAATAATTTTCAGAGGCTAGAGAACACTAGAAATTTTCACCACCTAGTGTTAAAAATCAACTAGGTTTGTAGTTGCAGGGGGCAGGTGTAATTTTGGCTGATTCAAATGTTCAGTTTGTGTTCCCATATGCACAGATTATCTTCTATCTCTTTGGGATTGGCTGGACATGGCAACTGCCACCAACACTGATGACAGTACACATGCCTACCGTCTAGAAACTAAGTGGAGTGAAATTCCCCAACACTGAGAAGCCACATCTGTAAAATAATGAAGGGTCAAATAACAGCACAATAAATCCTACTGAAATCAACAGGACTGTCTGGGAACTACACAGTCAAAATCTATATGAAATTCTGTTTAGTGCACAATTTGTTAAGCATTTGGTAAGGATTTGCTTGTTTTCCTTTTGGTTCTTATAGTTCTTTCGCTCACCATAAAAATTGGTTCATAACAATACTGAGTGTTGCCTTTTGGGTCTTTTGTTCGGTTGGTTGGGTTTTTGTGGGCTTTTGGGGGTTTTTTGGGTTTGGTTTTTTTTTTTTGAGAACTCAACGTACCTGATTTAAGGCAATTATCACTCAAAAAATTCTGTAATTGGAGTCTGACCCAGGAAACAGAATTGCAGGGAACCAGCTCTCACTGCACAAGTAGCTCTGAAATTTTGCAGTAGCTGAAATATGTTTCTCACTGTACTTGCATACAAAATCTCTACCTCAGCTTTCATTCTTTTGTTTTTATCCAGAAGTTAATAGATGGACATAAATTGGAAGAAAATGTATCTGCTTTTAGTTTAAAAAACAAAAACAAACAAAAAAAAACCCAACAAAAAACCCCAGACAAACACAGGCAGCTTTCATTTAAAATTACCACAGCCATTAAAATTCTGCAGCCACCACTCACGTACTTTCATTTCAGTTTGAAAGAGATGAATGCCAGACAACCAAAGTGGGCAGTGTAGTGTACTAGACAAAAAGATACCTGCTTAAAATGTACAAGTCAACCTCCCTTCTTACATTTAGAGCTTAACTGTCCACCATTCATATTTCAAAAACTTTTTTTTTTAGTTATCGTAGATTGGAAATTGCATGCAGTATGAATGGTATTTGAAAGAGTATTGCGTCTTGTCCCTGTCTGAAAAGAACCAAGAGACAGTAGCCTAGAAATACACAATTAAAATATTTAGACTGAACTGAAACAGAATGGTGGAAAGAAGTATGCAATGACAACTTCACAAAACCACTATCACTTAAAAAAAAATAATCTGAGGCACAAAACAGCCAGGGTGATAATATTTGATAAGAAGGCAAGTGCTCATAATAATAAAAAAAATCACTAAAGTTTATGCAAGGTACCTATTTTATGAAACGGTTTTACTAACACCCCCCCCCAAAAAACAGGAAAAATTTTGAGTTGTTATTAAGAGACAAAATAACGGTTACTGCTGTTTCAAACAGATAATTATTTACTCTACATGCTTTACAGTACAAACAGCATAGAATGTAAAAGGAAATATTCCTTTGCAGGTTTGTCACCATCCTAGTAAGTTTGAACTTGAAATTTCAGTTGCATTTAAACATTCACTAAAAGTTATTGTAAATTTGAATGTACAGAGGAGGTAAATATTTGCTTATAGCTGTGACTGACATGTCTAAAAACATTTGAATTCCAAAATGATTTTTTCTTTCATTTAAAGCTTACGGTCCCATTAATCAACATTCACAAATGCAACCATAAAGGTACTTTTAAAGAAGTGCTGAAAGCAAGAGTCCTGAATAGGAAAAACACTTAGGTTTGACACTTCTTTATGACTTAAACCAACTTTTCTTTGCAACTGACAGTCTTACTTACTTGTGACAGACCACCACCAAGGACAACATGTGCTTACTAGAAACGCTGTTGGAATGTTAACTGCACAGTGGATGGTTTCTCCTTTGACACCTGAACTTGCACCATTACTACGACTGTTGGGGCAAAACACTGGCTGCCCAGGCAGCCATGCACATGTGCAAAATACCTGCCATGCTCACATGGTCATGAGCACAGGCTCAATCACTGAATATGTTAAAAAAAAAAAAAAAAAAGTAATACTTGGGGGTACTTTTCTCCATGTAATTTCTGGTACCTTTGCTTAATTTCCAGCATCCAAACTAGCATATTTTAAAATGGAAGAAATTCTCCTCTGCTAGCATTTGCACATGAAAGCATCAGACCTGCAAGACATTTTTCTTGCCTGAACAGGAAACCTGCATGTTTTAATTTTATGTTAATTTTCAGAATATGACAAGCATTCTTTAAGAAACATTCAAAAAAGCATCCCCCTCTCTTACAGCAATGCATTTAATTATGCAAGTAGACAAACAAAGGATCCCTTTAGTGATTAGGGACTACAGTCAGCTAGTCAATGAGTTCTAACACTGGGTGGTAACTCATGGCAACAGGGGAGACAGAGAAGACAGCAGGCTAGATACAAATAGCAGTCCATCTTGCTATTCAGGATCAGAAGAAACAGCACTGCAGAGGGAGAAGAAAAAGCCCAACAACAAAACAAAAAAACCCCACCAGAACAGTAATGAACCTGCCAGAAAGCACAATTGGACCACTGCAATGAAAGGTTTATATCATAATGCTTGCATTTCCCCCACAACCTTTGTGCTCTTTCTTTTATTTTATGCCTTAAATTTTTGTTTAAGGACCATTTCAGTTTAGCTACTTTATTTCAGTTTTGGCACTCTGAATCTTCTTTTCATATTAATCACTTTAAAAACAAAGGTGGAAAAAAAAAAAGTATTAACCTTACCGACTGCACAATCGATCGGGCATCCTCCTCACTGCAACAGAATGGGCTGCCACTCACCAAAACATTTGTGCTGAAAAATAAAATTAAAAATATGTTTTATCAATCCGTGGAAAAGAGACACACACAATTAAGCACATATGGAAAAAAATCTTCACATATAGAGCTCAGAAACATGTATCTGTAAGAAATGAGGAAGTAAAAAACATGAAGTAACCAATAATGCTGGAAGGGAATGAGGGTGTGGAGGGGTTTCTTTGTTTCTTTGGGTTTGAGGGGGTTTTTAGGCTACACAATCTATAGTAATGAAAGCAGTGCTCACAGTGCTTCTGGCAGCTAACCTTGGTACAGTTCAAAGGATCACAGTTAAGAAACTAAATCCCCCCCCCCCCAAAAGTCAGCAGAGATAAACTGGCACTTCCTGAGGGAGCTGAAGAACACCTAGATGGTGAGCACAGATGGTGTGAATATCCCCCACTCCATCTCTGGTGCCTTGAAGGATGGCTAGATTCTGTGGCAGGCCACACTTGGTTTGCAGTAACCTGCCTAACAAGAAGGAAAAAACCAGGTCAAAATTCTGCTCCTACATAAGGCAGCAGATACCTGTACTGCTTCTAGACAGCAGATAAACTCTGGGACCAAATACTTTGCAGAAACATTTCCCCATGAACATATATCCTTTCACTCCAAAAGTGAGTTTGGTCATGAGTTTTTAAGGTCCTACACAGTAAACAGCAAGAAGTTAAATTCCTCAAAGTAAGACTGCAATTTAAATTATTTTTTAATTCTTCAACATGAAGCTCAAAGTACGTCTGAAATTATTAAGACCAAAATTTGAATATTATCCTACAGTATTCCTGCCACGCTAAAGTAGAACTACCAGCCTGTTCAACTGCTGAGGTGTTCAATCAGCTCTGAGAAAGTCACGTTTTCCCAATAAAGTAGAAGATAGTGACTATCTGAGCACAGCTTCCCTCACAGCCTTTGCCCTCTGGTTTAGTTAATGGCAATCCACAGCCCTTGGAAAGCACCAGACGAAGATACCTGCCTGCTCTTCAGGGCCAGAAGTGCCAATGCAAACCAGACCAGACAGTTTAAGAAAGTCCATTGTAATTTAGATCAGGCCAAAAGGCTGGCAAAGAACAATAATTTGGTTCTCTCATTCCAGAGAACAACTGAAAAATACGGCATGCTAAGCTGCAAAAAATTCTTGCAACACAGCAATGCAGCACTGAAGGACAGGGTAAACAATGACAAGAAGATTTGCACAGGATACCAAGATTGTCCCAAAATGATTCCGAACAAACACTCTGGGGCCATTTCTTGAAAGGTGAAGTAATTTATGTCACTTTTATATAATCAATATATTTTTGGAACCACTTACCGGTAGCTCATCCCTATACAAGGTGCAATTAGTCAATCATAGTCTATTATCAATTAACTATCAATCAAAACCATGAGTATACCTGTCATCTCAAAGTAAAAAAAAAAAAAAAAAATCTAAGCAGTTCATGCACAGCTGCCACATGTTGAACACCAGCAGTACAGGCACAATACAAAGAGGAAAAGACGTGACTGGATACTTACCACTTAATAGTACCTCCATCAGCTTTTTTATGAAGCAAAGCTTTCCAGTATTCATGGGTGGATTTAATAATTTCAACAGCAAAATCCTAGTTCACATCAAGGAAAAGTTTTATGATTTAAAATGTTATTAAACAGAAAAAAATCCACATAACTAGTTTATTAAAACATACTGTTTCATGTGTTATTTTAAGGGGCCTCCTTCGAGGCCTCATTAAATTTCTGTAAAATATAACACCCTTTTTATGAAAAGAAACAAACTTCACTCTCTGTCAAATAGGCTGGCAACACATTCAGGACTTTCCCCTCAGTCCACAGCCAGAAAACATGAAGGCTGCACAAAAAAAATTAAATCAGTACTAGATGCTAAGCAGACACCTACAGCTGTAGATAACTGCACCAGGTCCTAAATGGGACAAAGTGTGTGAGCTAGGACTCCTCTGTTACACATGCACATCAGGGTCAGAGTTAAGGTTTCCCCTCTAGCGGAAAAATCTGCATTTACTTCATTAATTGCTCGATCATATACTTAAGTATTTGCAACAATGTAACATGTCAGCTGCTTAACGGTTTTTGTTTGTTTAAAACAAAAGTAATATTGGCAGTGGGGATGAAAACACTTTAAAAAAAAAAAAAAGAAAAGGTAAAACAAGCCCTCAAGTGTCCAGATGATGATATCTAGACTGGCTTGCAAAAAGCTGCCAGCAGAACATTCACATTTCCTAACAAAGAGTGACTTGGCAAAATGCCACTGGAACATTGTGAACTTCACCAGAGCTGCTGGAGCGCAGCCACGAACGCCTTGCCACATCCTGGGTCTCTAGAAATGCTTGAGAATTATTCAAGTGCTCCAAACCAGCTATCTCAGGGCATTTAGTGCCTCAAGCCTGAACTCCAATGGCCTGACAGGGATATATCGTTGCTACAGACTGACACTCTACTTTACAGAGCAGGAAAATCTCTTAAGGGCAGCTCCTGAGAGAACAGGGGAGAGCCCAGGTTATCAAACCTTACAACTCTACATTTGAGTGACTTTTAAAAGACAGTTTTAGTGCAGAGGGGAGAGTCAGGGCATCACTTTAACCAGACAAAACATGTAAAGTTGCCCGTGCTGGTTAGAAGGCGTTTTAAAACTTTGATAGCATACTGCAAGGCTGAACTAGCTGACACACGGACATCATTCATTAGGAACCTGTGATTCTTTGCCAAAAATAGACTACAGAGAGTGTGCGATACATGATTTGCAAAGTACTTTTACTCAAATCACATCCAATTTCCTCTGGAAAAATCCAGGTATTTTCTACAGTGAGGTCTATTCCCAGATCCACTCTCCTTTCAAACACTGGTCGTTTTTACTGTACTGGTGTTTTAAAGCGTCATTAATTTTTTCTAAAAAAGGGGAAAGTATTTTTTCAGCCTTCAAGCCAAAACCAGCTCAAATGTTTTTTTATGCAGAATTACCAGGAAAAAGTATACCTTGAGCAAATATGAAAAAATCTGCAACCCATTGTCTGTCTTAAACTGCATAGCCTTTAAAAACTGTCAGGAAAATTTAACAATCAGGACTGAAAAAAAAACCTGAAAAGACAATCTGTTCATTGCTCTGACAAGGAGAATGAAAATGCTGGGGAAAAACCTACAAACAGACAGATGCATGTGTAAATCTTGTCAGGATTAGAACTGAATATTTTTTGCAGTCTTCCTTTAATAATCTATGCATTTTCCCTGAATAAAATGGAAGGCAGCAAACATTATTTATTTCTAGCCTAATAAATTGTATTCAAAGATCCCTCGTATAAGAATTCTTTCTGTTAAAGCTCCTACTTTATAATTCCAAAAATTCTAGAATGTATTAAAGAGGCCACATGACACAATGATGTATCTTTAACAGTAGATTATCTTCACCTTGTCTTTAAATTCTCCATTAAAAGCAAACTGATTTTCCGGTTTACCATCAGGGACTTTATATAATCGGAACCAGTCAACTGTAGCCTCAAGGTAACCTGGTTTGTGCTTCTTGACATCATCAATATCTGTAGGTTTACAAAAAAAAAAAAAAAAACCCTGGTCATTTTTACTCACAGTTTTTGTAACATTCATTTTTTTAAAGTCTCATAAAGGCTCTGCAAGCAATTTGATTTCACTGAGCACTTTCAAAGTCATTGGGGAACTTCACTTTATTACATTAGCTGCCCATAGTTGATATCTTATGATTTCACAACCACACTAAACAGGTAAACCAGTTGCCTCCTGCCCTTCATTAATTAAGGCCCAAAGGAACAATGCATAAAAGGACCATACTTGTGACAGGAGAGGAAGAAAATTCCTTATTTATAGGCTTTCATCTCAGAAGCTACCTCTTGCAATACTTAAGATTATTCAGTGAGGTAATTTTTTCCCCAGCAACTACAGGGACTACAGGCATTTTTTGATAATGAAAGAATAGCTAGTAAAAACAATTTCAACACACGGATTTTTAAACCAGCACCTCAAAACAAAATACAGGCTTGACTTCTCAAAGTTATATTAAAGGCATCCCTTTGCTCATATTACTTCCAAATTCAGCCCATTAGATACAAGACAGATACATGCCAGGAGCACTAAACACTAACTCTACTGATAACTCCGTGATATCTGCATACTCACAGCGATAAGCCCATTCTACCTTTACCTCTATAATCCTACCATGCAAAGATGGAACAGGACACAAAGAGGAATGCGTGCCATTTGCAGGACACCCTTGGGAGGCAGAGATGAACATTGCCCCAGTGAGTATGGAGGGATTAAACAGTCACAGAGTAATTCTGCTTGAGGGCTATACCGCTGTAGCAAAGACAGTTCATGATCTTAAACGTTTACTTCTGCTGCACATATCAAATTTTACCAGGTTGTCCTGTGAGACTACCATCACTCCCGTCCCTTACACTGAGGTGGTCCGACAGCCCCTTGGCAAATTAACTCTCTGGCAATGTGTTTACATGGAAATGCCTCAATACAATTTTAATTGATTTTGATACAATAAAAGGATTTTGTCCTTTCCGGAAGCCAAGTACTTTTTGTAGCTGGTGTAATCCTTCTCTTTCCATCTAGTTCCCTCCTACAGTCACTTCTGATGGAAATGGAAGCTGACTTTTTATTGCTGTGCTTTGTATGGAGTTTCCCAGCAATTTCATAATCTCACTCTGCCCAGGTCACCTTCCATGGTGTTACTCTCCTTTTCTAGTGTTTTGCAAGTCACTTGCCTGTTTCTCCCTTCCTCACTGCCTCTTGCTCTCTCCATACTGCTTGGCTACTTCATTCTCTTCTCCCATAGACATGCCTCACTCACTGACATTGCTTGGTTGGCAGTGATTCCTGACGGATACTCTTCTGTCTATCCAGTCCTATACAACAGATTTTCAGAGTTGCTTAATCCACAGAATTGACAACTAGTCATGTGCTTTCCATCTTAAAGTGCCTAAATGTCTTTGTTCAGGTTCACAGACTATATTTTAAAAAGACATTCAAGTATTTCTTAAGAGAACAGTAAGAGAAGGGAAAAAGTCTTGTGCTACAGAGCATTCAATTCTCTGTAGACCACCAAGAGAGATGACATGTGGACTGAACTGTGAGACCAAACCTATGTGAGAAGAGATGGTGAGTGTTCATAGGCATCTAATAGACACCGCTCCCAAATTCCACTGGATCACATGCTACTCAAAGAATAAAACATAAAACTTTGAAGAACCCCATGTAAATTTTTGTTTCTGCACGCACTTAATAGGGCTACGTGTTTATGGACTCGGAGTAAGACACATTTTGAACTTGGCTGCTGGCCACCTGCCTGTAGAAGATTAGGGAGTTGCATTGGCAGAATCCCAGAAAAAAGCAAGGGCACAGAAGGCTGCGCTAGAGGCAGGTCTTCTAGCTGGAATACATGTTTAAGAGTACAAGAAGCCTTTCACTGGGGTGGGTGAGTGAGAATAACCAAGAAGGAATAGTTTAGAAACGGGTGGGGTCTTCGGTGGAGGCAGGACACTTCATTTGGGCAGTAGTAAAACTGCAGCTCCAATTCAAATCAGGGTTCCAGTGTATTATCCTGTTCTCACCACCAAGCAAGGGAACATCTCTCCTCCCATCTTGAGCCGTTGTCATCTCCTCCTCTTGTGAGGTTTGAACTCACAATTGCTAGTACTTGTTGAAAAGACTGTATCTGCTCAAGTCTGTAAAGAAAACCAGGCTGTTACAGCAATTTCCTTGGCTCCCAGATGAACTCCAGGTCTCCATCTCCAGACACTACTTAAATTCAAGCATACTTTCTCAGATGGATGCTCCTTTTTTTCTGGTTCCTCTTCCAGCAAACTTCTCTCCTAACTCTGCTTCTCCATTCCTCCTACTTGGTTATTTGCCTCCTATTGCCATAAAAACTGACACTTGGGCCCTTCCCCATCTGTTGTTCCTTACTTACAGGCTTTGTTTATTTTAAAAGACTCAAATATTAGAACAGGATTTAGGGTAGGCTTTCATTACCTCCTTAAGATAGGGATGACCATCTTCATTGATAGAATCATCTCTCTGAATTTCACACTCTACTGGAAAATACCCTGCCTAGGTAAAATGACTACACAGAATCAGGCTACAGCATTATATGGCCCCTAAAGTGCTGGCTGCTGTATACTCTGGTTTTGAAGACTTAACAAGGGAGACTGTTTTTTCTTCTTATTTCCTTGGTTCCTGGCAAGTTAATTCTCCTTCATCCCCATGCTTCACTTCACTATTATTTATTATGAAGGACAGCTACTGGGCACCAAATGAAGCTTAAATGGTTGAAGAAAAAAAAAAAAAAAACCACCAAAACATCTGTATTATAGTAGGAGCTGGTGGCAAGCAGCAGGAAAAGTGCAACAGTGCAACCAAAAAATAAATCGATCCTGTTGCTGTGGAGTCAGCACACAGGACAAAATATAAGGAAAACAGCAGCTCTCGCATCACTCAACAGCCATCTCTTCAGTTCTTTAGAAGGTGCCATAGAAAAGCTTGAAAGACAGCTTGTCCTCCACTTTGACATTCAAACAGCATCTCTGGGATATCAGGGGGAGAAGGAAAAAAAATATACTCAGAAAACAGAAGAGTAACAAAGAAGCAAAGAAAGGTAAAAGATCAAGATAAGCAGTACAGTGACTTACTGCACTAATATCTACAGAAGCTAACTGCACATTATGATTTAAAAAAATGACTTAGATGTCTTTTCCATAGCAGACACTGTTCGACACTTTTTTCTGACCCTGACTGCTTACCTTCCCTTAGAGCTATGTACTCACACTGACGTCAAAAGGAGCTGAGCAAGTACGGGAGTAGCAAGCACGTACCTGTCCTAACATGGTTTCATCTCTGCAAGCAAGCCCTGCTCAGACTGACAGAGCAGAAAGGTCAGGCTCCTGCCAGTACATTATCAACACATACCCACTGGGCTCTACATGGTAGTTTATACTGCCTACATACAAACACAGGGCCCGTTTTTCTGGGCACCAAAGGTAATAGGCACCAAGGGTTAAAAAGAGATGGCTAATCACATTAGGGGTTGCTGTTTAGTCTCAATAAGGAAAACCTCTAGAGGCTGGCACAAACAACTGCTGCTAGCTCTGTCAAGGGAGTGAGCCAATGCAAGCGCAGATCCCAATTCTATCTGGCTTTACAAAAGAGAGCAACAAAAGCATTTCTACAAAACTACCATTTTTAGTACAACAGATGCTGCTTCTTGCGAGCAAAGCTAAAACAACATGCTTGCAGCAAGCTTTCTAAACAAGGTCTGTGGGAAGAGAGGACATATGTTTTTAATAACATCTTATAAACATTTACAGGAAGCAGCAGCTACATTCCATATAAAGGCATTTGGTGTGTTTTGTGCAGCATGGTGTGAGGGGGTAGGAGAGGAGCCTCAGTACAGATAATTAATTTCTTTATATTGAATGCTTACACAAATCCACAACAAAGGTTTTCAGGGCCTCTGCTGCTGCTCTGCATACAAATACACTCACATGCAAGGGTCTATAACAATATATGGTACAAAGTATGCAGTATGCTTTGTTTTTGCCATTTAGGGTTTGATCATTTCACTCAAAAAGCAAATCTTGAGTTGCACACTGGAAAAGCATGGCAACACAGCACAGTTAACTATACCAGTGCCAGCAAACGGTAGCACAACAAAGCCGGTAGAAATCACCAACTGCTGTTGAATATATCCAGGTGTCTTTCCAGTGAGCAACAGCAAAGAAACAGCTGTCAAGAATCCAGGCCAGTAAATCACCTCCAAAAAGTCATGCAGCAGACATGACTTGTCCAATTTGCTCAGGGAAGGTAAGACAACCTTTTGAGAGTCAGACTTCTCATAAGCTGCTTCAGACACACTTCCTGCTTCAACTGCCAGTGATTTTCAAAACCTCTTGTCCAATATGAAGGTGCCATATACATTTAGACCAAATCACAGCTCGAAAATATCACTCATCCTTTCTGAGCCCAACCTTGTCAAAGCACATCAGATATGTATGTGAGTTCCAATATCTTAAATTAAATCCAAATTTGAGATAAGCAGACAAGCAGCCTTTCTGCTCCGAGAATGTGCTTCTCCTGGCCAGTATTTTACAAACAAACAAACAAAAAAGCAACAAAGCAGCTAGGCCTACTACACCACCAAGATGTAGTGTTTCGGTGTACAGAGAGCTTTCAGGCCCTCTCCCAGACTTTCTTGGTCTGAAGTTGCTTTGCTGGTCTGCTAATGGCCATCTGCCTAGCAACTGCTCAGCAAAAAGACAACACAGTGGTTTTCAGGTAGCCAAAAAGACAGATCTTACTGAAATAGATAAATCTGAAGATGTCCAGTTTTAGTCTGAAAGAAACTTTCTCATACTGATACCTGCATCTGACATACTGCTTGTATTTGGAGTGAGATTGTACCCATGCCCACCAGTATTAAGTGCTATAATTTCAAACAGATTACCTTCCAAAGTCAGTCCAAAAAGAGACTAAGCCCCTGCTATTCCCACTGATGACAGAGTTCCCACTTGAATAGGTGCTAAGCATTGCTTATCATCCCTGGGTATTGTCACTATAAACTAGAGTTTCTCATTGCTCTGTGTGAATGAGTTCTAGGCAGGGTTTCCAATTTAAACCAGTATTTATCAATAAATGCCTGCAGGACACAGTACAGTGGAGTGCTATGAATAAACAATGAGAACTGCTCAGAAGTTGGGACTGCTCAGTTTTAAGTTCTGTGAAGTCTCAGAAAAATCAATTGCACTTATGAGAACGATCACAATCCCAGAAGGAGAATATACAGAGTACCTGGGGTGTGCTTAAAGCAGCAAGAGGAGTTAACACACTGCGCGGGCTCAGGATGGGGTTTGCAAGTAATCACCACTCTGGTGTCTTGGAATTATCTTTTCCAAATGTTCACTGGGGGCTGTGCACATACTGAGCTGAAAGCAAATGTGATGATTCTCAGTCCAATTCAAAATGTTTAGCAAACGATACAAAAATGACTGGACAGACTTAGAAGGCAAGACTTAGCCTCATCTTTCCCTAGGAGGCCACCACCATAACACAGCAGCACGTCAATTATTGAGGCAGATACCAGTTTTATCTGTAGCAGCTATCCCTTTATGCTGAAATAATTAACATCTTTGGGAAAGGGGAAAAACAAGTATAGAAGGACATATTGTGCTGCCTACACCAACAGATTTGTTTTCAGACTGAAGAAGGATTGCTGTTAAACACTGCAAGCTAGTCATGTTTTGTGAAAGCAGATGGGTTTGGGGTTTGGTTTTTTTTTTTACTTTTTCTTTCCTTTTGTAAATCCTGGACTGCAACTCCAATCCCAAAGGAAAATCATATTAAACTGGATAAATATTTCTGCACTTCTCTGAACCTCAGAAGGACAATTCTCTTTTTGAAGTTTTGCACCTATTCTCTAATAAGAAAGGATGCACACAGGAGTCAACTACAGGCAAGGGTTTGCATTTTTTTTCCTCTTTTTTTTTTTTAAGGCTAAAACTTTTATTCCCCTCCCAAACAAACTAAAGCTGTAACAGCTGACACAAATCAGTCATTACCTGAAAAAACCAAAGCAAAACAGAGGGCTTTCAAATAGAGTTACTTAACTCAGTGGCATAAACTGTCCCAGTTTTACCCCTACTTAGTAGACTCCTTTTAAATTCTCTCACCCACTTTTCTGATTAAACTCTCTCAGAAATTGTTAAGGAAAAAAGGTAATAGTTAAACAGCACTGTGTATTATAGAAATAAAGTGCTAATTACTTGTCTTTTAATGACTGACATATCACATTTCACTGCACATTATAGAGGTTTAAATTGATACTGACATTAACAGTGAACTATTACTATTTCCTTAAGCTGAACTTCTTAATCTGTAACTGTCAAAGTAGTTAGAGTCTCATAAGCACTATGCAGTAAATTCATCTGCCCAAGGATTTTAATCAGCATCACCCCAGGAGTTTCCTTTTCCTCATTTCTCTCCATCTTTCCCCACAAGCCAAATACTCTCCATGTGAAAGCAACCTGCAAGAAAACTGAGAATGGAGGGCTAGTCCAGTGATATACTTACTTTACATTCAGAAACCAGGAAAAAGCCTCAATGGCCAAGAAACATAATGCTTTAAAAAGCTACTGGATAGCCCTATTCCTACAGAAAGGCCACTCTGTGCCTTGGCGCTCCCTACCAACAAAGAGCAGGCTCTGATCGTACATGCCTGATGGTATATATGGTTTTTGATCTCACAACAATCCCTAACTTTTAGGCAAACCTCCTCACTTAATTCTCGTGTTTCCCAGTAACATTGCATTGGAGGAAGTGAACCTCCATTTTATAGCACTTTACCTGTGCTGCAAAACCCCAGCTCCCTGCAGGTTTAACAGATGTGTATCATCATCTTAACAAAGAATCTGCAAGCAGAATTATACCTCACGTGCTATTCACATAGACACATTTTAGTACTTGAATTCCATTTGGATACCAGAACCACGGTCACAAAGACGACAAGTCTGGACAGGGTATTTCCCCCTGTACAGCTAGTCATCATCAAGGCTTGTATTAGGATGAGCTGTTTACTTTGCAAATTTTCAAGCTGAAAGGTGAAACCTAATCGTTCATACTAGGCAATAAACCCTGGAAATAACTCAGTTACAAGTGACAAAACATTGGAAATGTACAGCCCTTTTCAGAATGCAACACAATGCCTGCAAATATAAAAGGAACAAACACTTTCAACAAGGAAAATAACAGTGGGCTACATAATCTGAGTGGGTAAATACGCACTATTACACAGGAGATAAGCCTGTAATTTTAAGAGGTCACTTTCTAAGGCAGTTGTGTTTCAGAAGCCCAGAGACTTTCTGCATGACAGATCCTCTTGAAAATCCAAGTGAACCTTTTCAAAAGCTTATTGTGAAAGCACGTATGCCCTTCTTGAAGGAAGCACCTGATTTAAACAAACCACCAGACAAAAGTCTTGCCTTTCCGCTATCTGCCTCTTCTTGTCCTGAGTGGCCTAAAGTCAGGTACCATTCTACTGTGTGAGCCGCTGACATAACTTGCATTAAGAAAGATTAAAATACTTGCCATGGATTTTCTGAGCTTCTGGGTCATCCACACTGATAGCAATTATCTTCCAATCTGTCTCTCCTTCATCAACAAGAGCTAAAACACCCAAGACCTTCACTTGAACAATCTCACCAGAAGAACGAATCTGAAACAGAACATAATCTCACAGAGATTTGGAAAACACTATGCAGAATTTCTCTTTTACCTTACAGACAACATAGTTTTACTACATTTTTGACCAGCATCTAATAGAATTGCAAGACAGATCTGTAAACCCAGTACGCATCTACTTAACATTACTAGCCTTTCCCCCACCATTGCTATTCTTCAACCCTCAACTCTCCAGTCAGCATTTAAGTAGACAATGTTAGCTAGAAAATGCCTCCTTCTCTTCTACCCTACTTGCCCCACACCTTCTTCATCTTCACCCCAAACTGCAAGTCAACAATATCTCATATTCATTTTTTAACTCCTTCCTGCCTCTTGAATCTCTATTTTCTCAACTCTTGGTCTTTATCTCTTGCTGTTCCTTTCTCTAGACTCCAATATACACATATAAACACACACCCCTTCCCCAGAAATACCAGCACAAGTCTTTTTTGCATTTTCTTGGAAACCTTCTCCCTACCAGATAATATTCCCTTCATAACTCTTTCTGGATCCCTTGAAGTTCAACTTCAGGTTCCTTTCCTCAAATAAAGCCATCTTCACTGAGGTCACCAAATAAATTTCTCCTTATGTAAAATATCCAAAGAGATCCCTCTTCCAAACTCATTTGTTTCATAACCCCATCTTTGATACCATGGAGGACCTCCATTCCTTGCTGCCTCCAGATACATAGAATTTTCTTTCAGTGAGCCTAACCTTTCCCCTATACCTACTAATGGTGTTTGCTGTACCTCTTTTCCATCCACCCACTCTGTTTCTCATAACGCTGCAACACTGCAGCAGGTTCCTGTCTTCTCCTCTAGAGAAGAGGGATCTACTTCTGTTTGCACCCATCAGAAAACTCAAACCTACCTCCTTTGTGGGTCTGATCTTGTAATTTTATGGGCATGATGCTGCTACACTTCCTCATCTTTCTGATACCTATTCCTAACTCCAGTACTGCTAACAGGAGAAAAAGAAAGAAAACTTTTCCTTCCCCAGAAATCTTAATGCCATCCTCCTTCACCCAAAACTCACTGTCCAGCCACTGAAGTTCAGGGTGGTGGTCTCTTATTTTCCCTTTTATCCAGTACACAGACTTTACCAAATCTGTCTCCTTTTTAAAAATCCACTATTTCCTTACCTAGTCCCTCTCTTCATACTTTTGTCATCCCCTGAGACTATTACCATCTTTACTTGTTTTCCATCTGCCCTTCTCTTCCAAAAGTTGTTACCAAATTAAATTAACCTTGATAAATTAAATTAATCCTGATAAAGACAAACCTTTGAACCTATTTCACAAACATCAATAGGATCATTATCCCCACAGCATCCTGTAATGTTATCTGTATGGTTTGGATCTTCCCAGGTCTGTCAAAGGAAAAAGAATTACCAGTTATCAACTGATCTGCTATTAAAATTCATCTAACCACTAAATTATTAAGATTAGTAAACACATCAATAAAAACATCAGCTTTCTGAGAACAGTCTTGCTCAATGTGAAAAGAAAAAACAAACAAACAAACACCCAATGGACTGACATTTGGACAAGTAACATGAGGATTACTGAGGACATAGAAACAAAAGTATTAACTACATCTGTGACTCAACAGACACACTTAATCAAATTGCAGTGATTAAGGCAGAGGACCCTAAATATGTATTTTTCTGGTTACTAGTGGTTGTGGGATTAAGCTGTAACATCCTACAATCACATTCTTCTTATACTTTTTAAATACCATGTCACTAACATAAGTTGCTTTCAAAAACATCCAGGCTTTGAGCTAAGCAAGCTCCTAGGTATAGATTTGTCAGCACCCAATTAGCTTTTTAACGTTTCAGATTTAGGTATGCAACCTTTCTGAGTATTTTGAGATGTGTACACTCCCAAGAACTGCCAGTAGCTTAAGACCAAAGAAAGTTCTCCAGGAGGGAAGTTCAAATCCCTGCTCTGAGCTCTGTACAAGCAAGGAATCATAGCCTAGTTATACTTACTTAATTATCAAACCAGTACTTGTTTTGTCTCTTACTGGCTAGTAATGAGTAACTCATTTTAAAGTTGAGAACTTTTCCTGGTAAGAATTTGGAGTGTTATGAAGTTTTGTTGAAAAGGCATTAGAAAACTTTTTTCCAATGAGCTATATTGTTAACTCCTGCTGTCCACAATCAAACCTCCACCTCAAACTTGTTCTTGAGAACTTGACTGACACTAAAAAGCAGAACTGTGAAGGCAAACGCTCAGGTGTTGAGGTAACAGAAACATTACAAAAAAACCTGCTGAAGTGGAGTTAAGAGAGAATTTCAACTCAAAACTTATTTTTCCAATAGTCTTTTCAAAGTGCTTTTTGTTAAAGCCTGCGTTACACTGGTACTATTCTCCTGCCCAGCTGCACCCCTCCACCTGTAGGTTAGAAGGAAAGCTCGCTAGGAATGGTATTGTTCTCAGGACAGTACAGCAACTCCTGCAATAATTATCGATAGTCTTATTGTCAGTTTTTTCCTTCTCTTTTCCACAGCATAAACCAGCAGCCACAAATATCTATCTTTAAGCCATATACTAGGGCTGAACTTCTGGTAACTGCTGATCCTGATGAAAAGTCCTCTTGTGATAATAGACACTGAATCAGATTTTGTTTGTTACACCTGCTAGTAGGAATCTGGAGTATCATCTAGACATCAACAATTGGAAGTATAATGATCCAACTGGTATTTCAAAGTTATTACAGGAAATAAAAATGACAATTATCTCCAGCCCTCTCTGACTCACAAGGTAACAAGGGGAGCTGAATATTTCTCCTGGGGAAAGTGTCATCAGTCCAAGATAATGCACTTTGTGCAGGAAAAGAGTCAAATGTTTAATTTTGGCTTTGTACTAAGGCACACACGAATTTCAAAACATTAAATGGAATTGCTGGTTCCAAGTTATACCTACTTGGAAACTTTGTCTACTGAGACTGCTGACTGGATAACAACTTCATTGCTATACTCCAGCACCTGCCTGGTATCTCCTCTTCAGGGATCAAATATGTAAGATTTTCCAGAGTAAACTTTCATTGCTTACACAGCTAAGTGTAAAGAAAATAAACTACTCTTTCTTTCTAGCTCCATCACTAGTACTGTTCTTCAGTATTAATTTAACTCCAATGTGTTATTCACAGAAATGAAAAAAGTTTAAAACCTTTCATTGTGGTCAAAATTTCAGCCATTAGTTGGGCTTTTTCAAGGCTTAAAGTCTTGAATGTGTCATGATCGCTAAAGTCTCACAGTTCAGGGAAAGTTAACTAAGGCAGTTGAGGTTTAATCTAAAAAAGAACAGCCCTTGTGTTCCTCTTTGTTAAAGAGATTAAGAAATCCCAGTTAAAATTTATGCTGCGACACATGAAAATCCTAAATTAGTTTTTTAAAAAATGTCATTTAAGTAGAAAAAGGCTACTTGACAAAGTATTCTTGAATGGCAGACCATGACAGTTTAATTCTGTCACTACCGTACAGAGACACAGATTAAAGATTCGAGATTTCTTGATGATTTAACTTCTTCCTGAAACACAGCGCATATTTACACCCACACTCAAATTCTGATCAAAATTTATGGACACAATAAAGCTCAACATAAAAAAATCATAATTTACAAATGTATCAAAGAGAAACATCCCTCTTGCAACTGATTTGCATTCAGGCAGTACCCAAGATTTACAAGGCAATTTACACAGAAGACAGAAAACTTTCACCATTATAACAAAAATGTTACCTGTGGGAGGGCACCATAATTCCATATATAACCCTTGTGAGGAAAGATATTTGCCACATATCGAAGCTTGCCTTTCTTTATATCTTGTTTAATGGGATTCAACGGCTCCTCAGTGGCAATCTAAGCAGATTGTGAAAAAGAGAGAGAGAGAAAGAGAGACTGGTAAAATGGAAAGCAATTCATTCTGCACCCAACCAGTTAGAAAGCTCCATCTGGGAGCATGTGTTTGTGGTTTGAGAAGTATTAAAAGTACGATGGCCTCACTCTAAATCTCAAGGGTCATGTTCAAAAAGCAGCTTATTAAGGTTTTAAATAACGTTGTGAAGTATGCAAGAAAAAAAATGAATGTAGAAGAGAAAGTCATAAATTTATAAGGAGACTGTCATGGTCAAACATAAATACTGAAAAGAACTTAAGTTAGAAGCTCTTGCACTTTATAGTACAAGTTCAACAGACATACAAATGGTGGCACAAATTCTTCAGACAACAGGGGCTTTCACAGCAAGAGGGGAAAGGTTTCATCATCTTCTCACCCCCTGTTCATTGCTCTCTCATTGCATACATCCCTTCTCTCCATCACTTCTCAGCATACAAACGCTTTTTAGTAAAGACAAGTTCTGCGTAGTCACCAAATGCCAACTTCACGCAGATTTGGAACAAGTTAAAAGCTAGCATTAGAAGAAGGCATACTTATTCCCAAAGAAGCACTCACAGAAGGACTGAAGTAATTAAAGCTGAACAGTTTATTATTGTCATCATCCTCACCAAAACCTCAAATACAAACCCACTGCCATATAAGTTACCTACTGCACATCAGCTAAGCCACTGTAACCATCCTTTTGACACTCCACACCCACAACCCAATCCCTGCTAGCTTGGCTCTTGCTTACAAACACTCATCTGAATGGCATCACATTTGTTACAGGCTACGAGCACACACTGCCTTAGGTTGTACATAGCTTACATGCTTAAGCACACAGCCCGTAGTCCATTATTATCTTACAACATCCTTGTCATTTACCTAAAGCACCACCACCAAAGCCATCCCAAAGGAATTCCACCTTCTTGAACCACACCAAACTGTCAATAGCATGCACTTACTCCACAAGTAAATCCTCCCCAAGAGCTGAGATCAAGGTTCACACATTTCTGGTTTTACACTTGATTCTACCTGCATCTGGTCATAACTTAACAGTGAAGACTTCAAATATGATGCCTTGGAACTCTGACAGAAGTGGAGCTCAGCAATGCTTTTTCTTGATGTAAATCAGGACAAAGAGGAGTAACTGACAAGAGCAGACAGAAGTCTCATGAAAAGCACCTTCAGTAAAATCAAGGGAAGAACAACAGAAACACAACCAACTGATGAGCAGGAGATCTGGTGCTGGGGAGGTAACAGTGGGAAACATTCATCCTAAGGCAAGGTTTAATTTCCTGCAGTCTCCATTCCATGTGAGGAAATCTCAGCATGGAGGTGCAGAGAAGACCTGGTATTAGCACCTTACCAGAGTCTGGACTGAAGGACTGCCAGGACACAATGGCAAGGCAAGACAACTGCCTTAACAATTAATGCCGGAAACGTCAAGTATATTAAAAGCTACAGATTAGAGAGCTACATCTGGTCTCTATCAAACCAGAAAAGTCTAAACCCACTGATTTCCGAACCTATAGAGGACAGCAACCTTTTCTGCCCTTGACATAACGTGCCAAGAGAAGGGGAGGGAGAGCAACCTGAGCTTTACACAAAGCCTTCAAACGGCATTGTCAAAGGGAAACTCTACAAAAGAGAACTCAGCTTCCACAATAAATCATCTTAAAATACAAGATAAATATCCAAGGTAACCCTGCTTGCAGAACAACATCTGTGGTGGTAAACACAGTTCAAATTATTTTCCAGCATCAGGGAAAGGAGAAAACAAAATTCTGAAGTAACAGGCTGGGGAGGTTCTTTGGTGTTATTTTTAATAATCAAAATAGTTAACACCTCAACCACAAACTTCCTTAACAGCTGGGAAACATCCCTAAAATTAATACAAATGTTCAGGAAAATAGGACATATCCTGGTAAGATCCCCGTTGTTTCACAAACAATACAGACGAAGCATTACTCAGCTTCTATATTGTAACTGCAGAGGAATGACCCACTAAGCTCTACTTTTAAAATACTTCTCTGCAATAGATACTTTCAATCAGTGAGGTCCCCAAGTATTTTTTTGTCACAAGGAAATCTTTTTCATTTGCAACTCCATTTGTCAGGATCCAGTCTAGCACACTATAGAATGGAAATGAGAGGAACTAAATCCTCTGAGCATAACGGTCTGTGAGCAAGCAAGAGTAAGACTAAATGCTGGACAACGTCCTGCAACCCAGTACTCTACGACTCTGTTGCAGGTATGCCACACTCTGCAGGTCAAAGGGCTGTCAAGCAGCATTGCTCAGCTGCAGAAGGGAAACAAAATTAGAACCTCAATACTTTTTATAATCATAAGGAAAGTGTCTGTATGCACAACTTCATTTTTTTTTTTTTTTTTAACAAAGCAGATTTTATGTGTAAAGAGCAATCCACATTTTGATTAAACTTTGACTACTGGAAGCCACTGCATTGTCATAACTTTCATGAATACCTATATCATCAAGGTATTTTTCGTAATTACCTCCATTTTTGCATTTGTCCAACGAGGCACTTCTACAACCATATTAAACAGGACCTAAAACAAAAAACAATGGCAGAACTGAAAATAAAATCCACTTGACAATTTAGTATTTTACAATAAAACAAATTCTCTCCTCTGTATTCAGCAGCAACATACATGACATCTCTCTGTTCCAGCTGCTTTTATGTTACGTACAATTCATTTAGTTCTGCACAATGATATTCAAAACCTCCTTGGTTCATCCTTTCCGCACCCCTTTGAGAATACGAACAACTACAGGCAGTGGAAACCCACATGATGTTTTTTACTCCCATATCAATATTGCTCTTCACAAAATGTTCAGAAAGTCCATGGAATGGTTTGCCACATGGCAGCGGTTCGGTCTACCTGTCAGAGGACTGGACGTTTCTATAGGCCAGCTAGCTTCCCTCTGGAAGCACTGGAAAAGAACAATGTTTTGTTTTTTTCCCCTGAGGATTTATTTCCTCCTCTTTTGCCTTGTTGCAAATGCAACAACCACTGACATTTCTGATTCTCAGTCAAATCTGGTTGAAGTGAGCACAAGCAGTCCAATATGTTGATGACAACTTTCTCCTCCAAGTGACAGAGGAGCCCACGAGGAGAGGTGCCATGCTGGACCTTATTCTCACCAATAAGGAGGGCCTGGTAGGGGACGTCAAGCTCAAGGGCAGCCTTGGCTGCAGTGACCATGAAATGGTGGAATTCAGGATCCTCAGGGCAGCGAGGAGGGCACGCAGCAAGCTCACCACCCTGGGCTTCAAGAGAGCAGACTTTGGCCTCTTCAGGGATCTGCTTGGTAGAATACCACGGGACAAAGCCCTGGAAGGAAGAGGGGCCCAAGACAGCTGGCTAATATTCAAGGGTCACCTTCTCCAAGCTCAGGAGCGATGCATCCCAACAAAGAGGAAGTCAAGCAAAAACACCAAGAGGGCCCCGTGGATGAACAAGGAGCTCCTGAGCAAAGTCAAACAAAAAAAAGGAAGCCTACAGAGGGTGGAAGCAAGGGCAGGTAGCCTGGGAAGAATACAGAGAAACTCTCCAAGCAGCCAGGGATCAGGTTAGGAAAGCCAAAGCCCTCATAGAAATTAGTCTGGCCAGGGATGTCAAGGACAACAAGAAAAGCTTCTATAGGTATGTCGGTGATAAAAGGAGGATGAGGGAAAATGTGGGTCCCCTCCGGAATGAAACGGGTGACCTGGTTACCCAGGATATGGAGATGGCTGAGGTACTCAACGATGTTGGCCGCAGTCTTCACTGGAAAATGCTGGAGCCACACTGCCCAGGTCGCAGAAGGCAGGGACTGGGAAAATGCAGAACCGCCCATTGTAGGAGAAGATCAGGTTCGAGAATATCTAAGGAACCTGAAGGCGCACAAGTCCAAGGGACCTGATGAGTTGCATCTGCGGGTCTTCAGGGAACTGGTGGATGAAGTGGCCAGGCCACTCTCCATCATATTTGAGAACACCTGGCAGCCCGGCAAAGTTCCCGCCGACTGGCAAATGGGAAATATAATCCCCATTTTTGAGAAGGGAAAAAAGGAAGAC